AAAGAAAGAAAGAAAGAAAGAAAGAAAGAAAGAAAGAAAGAAAGAAAGAAAGAAAATCATAAGCCATCCTCCCTGATGATCACGGATGTGACATTTTTCTTTTTTAATTTTGTGTTTTGAGATTGTAAAATAATTATCTAAGTTTCTTCCTCCAAACCCTCTCTTATATCCCTTGATTTTTTTCAAACTCATAGCTGATTTTTAAATAGTTGTTGTATATATTTCTAAATACACAACTAAAACATACTTAATATGTATACTGCTAATCGTGTGTATGTTTTCAGGGCTGATGATTTTGTATTGGCTAACCAATTTGTGTACTTCCCTGTGGAAGAAAATATTTCCCACACCTCACATACCTTAGTTGCCTCTCATATATTGTATAGGGTTGAAGCCTCCTTTGCTTTCTCATTATTCCACATTAACATGCATATTTTTGTTGTCTTTGTTCAGATCCATTCTGCAGTCATGTTGGCGAGACTGTAGTATTGGTGTGGCTTCTGTTATTGCTAGGAAACACAGTCTCCCAGCAAACACACTGTTCCTCTATCTCTTAAAATCTTTAAGCTTGTGGAGCTCCTGTCCTCTCCAGGTCATACTAACTCCCCCTTCTTTCATATGATTCCTTGCTCTCTGCTGAAGGTTTGGTTATGAGTCTCAGCATCTGCTTTGATACACTGCTAGGTAGAGTCTTTCAGAGGCCCTCTGCGGTAGGTTCCTGTCCTTTTGCCTTTTTTTTTCTCCTACTTCCAATGTCAATCCCATTTGTTTTTCTAAGTGAGGATTGATCATCTTACCCTGGGTCCTCTTTCTTATTTATCTTCTTTAGGTGTACAGATTTTAGTATGTTTATCCTAGTTAGTATGACCTGGAGAGGACAGGAGCTCCACAGAGACCAAATATTTTAGGGCACAGGGGTCTTTTATGAGGCTGTTTCTCCAACCAAGAAACATGTATAGATATAACCTAGAGCCCCTGCTCAGATGTAGCCCATGGTAGCTCAGTATCTAAGTGGGTACCCTAGTAAGGGGAACAGGGACTGTTTCTGACATGAACTCAATGGCTGTCTCTTTGACACCCCTCCCCCCAATGGAGGAGCAGCTTTGCTAGGCCACAGAGGAGGATATTGCAGCCAGTCCTGAAGATACCTGATAAGCTAGGGTCAGATGAAAGGGAAGGAGGATTTCCCCTATCAGTGAACTTGGAAATGGGCAGGGAGGAGATGAGGGAGGGAGGGGGGATTGGGAGGGAATGGGAGAGGAGGCTATGGCTGGGAAACAAAGTGAATAACCTTTGATTAATAAAAAATAAAATAAAAAATATTAAAAAAAATCTTTAAGTTCCCTCTTTGACAAGAATTCTTGATCCTTATTTGTAGGAGATATATTGTAGATGTATTCATTAGTCCTGGGCTCCAAAACTCTACATTTTGATTAGTTGTGTTTTTCTGTAATGGTCTTTGTCTATTACAAAAAGAATTTTTCTTGATGAGGAGTGAGGACAACACTTTTCTGTGGGAATAAAGACAAATGTTTGAAATGTAGTTGGGGATTATGCTGGTTTAGTAAAATTGAGGTTATAGATTCTCATATACAGTACTTCACCAACCCTAGGTAACTGGCTAGCCTTCCAATGAAGTCCCTGTAAACAAAATTTAACAGCACTTGGTTATGGTGGATGGTATCTTTGTTGTGTTCTTGGATTCGGTTTGTAAGTATTTTTGCATCAGTGTTCATAACAGAAATTTGTGTGAAATTCTTTTCTTGTTGGGTCTTTGTATGGTTTATGTATCAACATGACTGTGACCTCATAGAATGAGGTTGGTAGTGTTCTTTCTGTTTCTATTTTGTGGAATAGTTTAAAGACTATTGATATTCTTCTGGTCTAACTGGATGTCTACATTAGAAAAATGCAAATAGATCCATACTTATCACTGCCTCTATTTATGTTTCTTAATTTCCTGCTTCTTATAAGAAACCTTACCAAAAAAAAATTTTTTTTTAAATTAAAAAATAAATAAATAAATAAATAAATAAAGTCATGCTCCACCGAAAAATTAAATAAATAGATAAATAAATAAATAGATAGATAAACAAGCAAAGACAGGTTGTTATCATTCATTTTATACTCGATACTTAAGAGAAAATGCTAATATAATAAGCATACTGTATTAGCTACCTCAATTTTACATCATAAATATGTATAAAGAGTAACAGAAAAAAAAAAAGAAACCTTTCATAGGTGATTTAGGACCCAATTGAACCTAGTATGTGTTTTCTTAACTTTCTGAGATCTGCAAAGATCCTGTTTCCAAGTCAGAGCACAAGCATAGGTTCTGGTTAGATTCAAATGATAAGAGCAAATACTCTTTAAAATGGTATAATTCCTAAGCAATAGTTTTGTTTAAGAAACAAGTATTTTTGAAAAGCTGAATATATATATATGCTACATTTAAATGCCATTCTTCTTATAATAAATTTATATTAACATGTTTAAGCCTATCCAGAACTTCAGGATATATCTTTATTCAATTTCTGATACATTTTTAAAGCCATGTTTGTATGGAAAGTTAAATTACTCCCTTTTCTTAATGAAATTTGCAGGCAAATGGTGGGAACTAGAAAAGATCATCCTGAGTGAGCCATCCAAGAATCAGAAAGACATACATGTATATACTCACTTATAAATGGATATTAGACATATAATATAAGATAAACATACTAAAATTTGTACACCTAAAGAAGCTAAGAAAGAAGG